ATACATAATTATGTCATATGTCCATCATCCTGAGCTCCTACATCTTTTGAAGCTACTTCATTCTGAATCACTCCCATGAGTTGGCTTGGGCATCAGAGCGTGCTCGAACGAGTCATTCACGTCATTCATCGTCCTCTTTTTTGGTGACGCGAAAAGCTGCAGAAGTGGATTATTTTAAACAAAACGCCCCCAATTCGGAGGGCCCTCGCTGAATAAAAACTATACGACATGTTCATCCGGAAATTGGTTCCTACCTAGGCAGCTACAAGCACCCAAAAGGCCAGTGGGCCGGGAACAGCTTTGGATTCGTCGCCGTATTCCGCTTCCCGCGCGCCTGGGGAAGCGGAGGTGTCCTCCACCTCCGAGTGACCAGGAGGGCGAAAAGAGGGTGTTGCAACCATACAAACCCACACTAAAAGAAGGCTTCACGTGCTTTTTTGTGACCTTCCATTTTTTGAATACCGTGCTTTTGCATACCAAAGTCTGTCTTATCATCTTATCCAAACCTTTCGAACACCATGGTCACGCAAACGGGAAATTCAGGTCTGAAAAGGACCTCAGCCCACCCAAACTGAGAATTGTTCCATATCAGGATTGGATTCTGGCTATCAAATAGTGGTCTTAGCTTCTCTCTTTTTTGGTTTCTCGCTCTCTCTTTCTCTGTCGTGCCTTGTGCTAAAAACCATGAAACACCAGAGGTTGATCCAAAAAGGAAAACCCAGGCTAGCCCTCATGACGGCTGAGAGGTCCACCCGATCCACCGAAACGTAGAAATGGCAGCCATCGTTGATAAGCCCTTTTTTTCTGCCGAGTCGAATCAACATCTTCAAGGCATTGCCTCGACATTCTTCGAAGAACATTATTTTGTTTTGCGAACACCTGGACTCTAGACATCTCTAGACATCTCTAGACCCGGAAACAAGTGCTTGCTCCCATTTGCAGAAATGTAAAGAACCTGATTCCTGCAACGATTTACGTCTTTTTGGGTCCAGGTGGAAGTGCATATTTGCACTCTCCAATTTGTTTCTTAAGGTGCAAAATGGCTCAAGCCCTGAAAATTTGTACCTGAGTTCTTTTGGCCATTGGCCGGTCGGCAAGTAGTCATGTATAGTCAGTATAGTCATACCATGATACATTCAAGCGCAATTGAGAATCCGGCAGTCCAGCTGCCTTTAGCAACTACCACCTCCTTCGCAGTGGGGGCGAACCAAACCACAGTTTCTGGATCATTTCTTCTAAACATAATACGATAGTCATCTACTCGCCCATATGTCCAAACCATGGATCAAGAACTCTGGGGTGAACACGCGTGGCTGGCCAACGCAGTTTTCATGAGTGGTATGCAGGTAGCATAGGTTGCCCAAAGAACCCTTGACGCAGTGCAACACTTTCAACACAATTGGTTATTATGCCACCTGAACCGTTCGATATGAGATGGTCAAAGTAAAACACCACAAATGGGTTCGTTGGTGCACCGCTTGGATTTTCTTAGGCGAGATAACTCTTCCCGGATGTGTTGGTTCCTAAGTTGGCGATGATCTGAGAAACAAATTGACCTGAAATGGACAACAAAACACTGGAGATTGAGATAGATTGAGTAAACTACTCTTGGAACAACATTTCTGACTTCCAAGCGGGTTGCCTCTAGTAGGAGAGTTAGCCCCTTCCTCAACCCTCAAGTTAAAGAGTTGAACCAATTTTTTGGATGTTGGCCTGGCGGCATATTGCTACTGGTTGTTGGAAAGAAGGCTTTCGATTCAGATCGCAGATTCAACTGTTTACTGTCCCTTCAATGTTCAATGCTTTGGCCGGAGCCAGGAACATGACAGCGACTCAAGCAATCAATTTGCAATGCTCGATCTAGGAGGAGTCAGGAGGCTCCGAGCACACGGTGGCCCCGGATTCCAACATAAACACGTCGCATGGCCACGAGGCACACGTCGGCCAAAATCTTCAACTTTCCCACATATCCGGGTCGAACTTGTCTTTATCTTGTTTCTGGAGTGTTCAGGACGATATGTAATTTCTATTCAACCCCGTTCTATCCTTTGTTCTTGGTGCCTGAAAGAATTGAACCAAAGTAGGCTAGCAATGGCTAGCACATGTCTGGTAGCAGCTGTTGTCCCAGTAGGCAGGTCCAAGATTAAACACAGTCACAGTATGTCATAGTCCTTAGTTCTCTGGTAAAACACCTCCAAAACCAATGCAGGGTGACCCTCCCAGCCGCTAAAGGGGACATCTGAGTGGGACAACCCCCGTTTATCATCCAATCTGCACCTATGTAGCTCCAGTCTGCTCCTATGTAGCGCTCCTGCCAAGAATTCAACCATCTTTGCACCACTCAACCGAGGATTCTGGAGGATTTGCATGAAGGAGAAGGGACTACTCCACATGCCACCCACTTCTGCAATGCGTAGGACGTAGGATGAAGCCTTGATTCGAGATCTCTCATCTGACCTTCCCGACGTCCACATCTCACCGCTGGTCTCCCCCGTTTGGGGGCAACCTCCAGTGTCCGGAAAAAAACAGGCGCTTCGCCATGCTTCGCCGTGGGAGCTCGAAGGACGCCGCCCGACATGCGATGGGTAGAGATGCCGACTCGGGCCGGCACCGACCTGAAAACCGTCCGTGGGTGGGTTTCTTAAAGTTTGTTGGCGCACACATGCACACACCAACAAAATCCCAAAATCCAACTGGAACACATTTGTAAGAATATAGGAACATATTAGGAACATACGGTAACATGCACACATATAAGTAGGTGCTACATGGGGTGTTTGACCACACCTTCCATTCCAGGAAACATCAGCCCACCGGCCCCGTCTTACCAGATGAGGCCCTGACTTTCACAGAAGCAATGTACCTGTACCCACATCTCAGCCACATTCCACTCTACGCAGAACTACAAAGACTTACAAATCTACAACAAATTAGTGTTCACCACACCTATTTGGCCAAGTGGATGAGAACACAGCGGGAATCCCATTACACTGGCCCGGTTGAAACACAAGGTTTCACATCCTTTTGGCCCCCCCGTATTCGTGTGGGCAGGCCCCAACGAAATGAAGATTTCGTGTTGTGATGTTCCCGAAAAAATAGATTACTCGCATCTTTTTGATCTGCTTTCACGGTTTCCGCTCTTGGTGGCGGTAGATCCACTGGTAAACTCTATTCCACAGCCAGGCATGCTTCGCCCATTGACTTTTTGGCATGCGTCGTCCATTGACTCTTCACATGCTTGACGTGCTTCACAGTCACGCAGGCTTTAGCAGACTATCTCTGCACAACTTTCTTGTGTCGGCCAAGCACCAGCTGCAACAAGTTTCAAATCAGCTGGGGCCACAATCATACACACAGCCACCAAACAATAAATAAAACCTGCCAACCTCTTGTTTGCGCCCAAGTGTCAGGCATCACGGTGTCCACGACGTACTGTGGCGCACTCCATAAACTAACGAAGGCACGAACGAATGTCACTTGTCCCCCCCTCCAGACCCCCACACGTAACTGTGCAGCAGCCAACATGCAAAAACAGCCAACATGTTGGTCAAAAAACGTGAAAAAACAGTCAACACACCAACGAAAAGGAAACTGCACGCCTCCGGGGGGGCCTGTATGGCCGTGACACCAAAAACAAGGAGCCAACGCTTGCGCTAAGGCCGCTGACTCTTCATCTTCACCAAGTTGGCAACCCGACTAGCTGGCCAGGCCAGCTGAACATATTCGAATTTAGAGATGCACCTGTGTTTCTTGTAGAGCCTCTTTGTGACCAGTGTGTGTTTTGTGGACCATTGTTGGCGACATCTACACCAGGACCTTCAAAGTGAGCTCTTTCAAGTCTCTAAGAGGCCTCATTAGGGACTAAGTAACCTCAGTATACCTCAGTCTGGGATCTCAAAAGGTCACTTTGAAGGTCCTGGCAGAAAGGACATGAACAAATCTATGGATGGTCAAAAGTAGATTCTAGATCGGTTCGACCACGAGGGGAAAGACCAGAAAAGCCTTTCTTTGTGTATCCAGGATCTGAAGTGAGCTCCCAGGCTCATCGTGCAGGTTTTTGCACCACAGGCCAAGTTGTCAGCTTAAAAGGCTTCCGTCAGAGTTTTTCCGCTGTCGGTATAGATGTAATACAATATATATATATATGGACCCATTTCGTTCCAAATGGTTCGTCGGACACATCTCTCGTAGTGATCCAATTTGGACGCAGCAAACTTGTCCACGATAAGGCTTGGATGGACTATGATGGACTCTCAGGTCATTTGGCACATTCTGGCCCACCGAGTCTGGGGGGAAAATGCGAAAACCATATTGGGAATGTGGATGTCGTGCCTGTTTTTAAAAGTGTTTCTTGTGATTTGCTGGGAATGTGTGTAAGTGCTCCACCAAGCAAACATACAAAAGAACAAGTAAACCATATATGACCTTCAATGCTTGAACACGTTAGCTCTATTCAAAATAGTGTATATATAACTATAGACATATATACATTCCATTTGCAATCAAGCTGTCACCCACATTTGACCTCAGGATTGTTTTATTGCTGCCAGTATGACTTGTAACTTGAGTCGTTTGTTCGACCAAACCCTCCCCTCACCCACTATGGATGCTAGCCATGCATAGCCCTTATGACTCATCAACTTGTGCACCTGGCTGTCAAATAAATTCATGGTCCCAAAATCATGAAAACCACATGTTGAGCTTCTTAGCATTGCGAACTGAAAAGTCTTACAGCGCTAGGATGTTAGGATGTGAAGAGCTGAACAGGACGGGAATGGACTTCCCAGCGCGTTCGCCAGACGACGGTCACTGTTCGGAAGCAGGATGGTCCTGTTCCCAACAATAGATCTTTTGTTCTGATGGTCTACATTCAAAACTTCAAATATATACATGTATATATTATATAGTATTACTATGTTTGCGTAACATATAAATACATACAATATATTAATTATATATATATATATATCGTCCCCACATGCCCCCACCACTCACCCCACGACCTATGCTCTATCCAACAGCCGATGGAAGCCGATGGCAAGGCCCCGATGGCGTCATTCACCCCAAAACGTCAGATCTCGGTCTCCGGTCTTCTCTTGCATGGTCTCGGTGGAAGAACGATGCGTCGCTGCAAAGAAGTTCCAGACACTCCATGGGACTGCCTATTTGCCGATCAGGCCAGGGGTGGTGCCAGGGGGTCAATGGGGCGGCAGTCCTATGACAGTCCCATGGAGTGTCGAGTGCGTTCGCACTCGACAGGCACTCGACACCTCACACTGGACATCACACCAATCAGCCATGTCTTGCATCTACTCACAGAGATGGCTTGGATGTTCCTTGTGAAACAGCCCGAAGAAACTCCCGCGCCGTGGTCAACCGTGTCTAGAAAGGCGCAATGGTCTGGCTGCTTGATCGACTTTTTAAAGAATTCCCAGGTTGGACCTCCCGGGCACTGCATGACATACCAGGTATACCGATAGAGTAGAGTATATCCCATTGCCAACAGTGGATGATGGCGCAAGGGCTTGGTTACAGGTCGACATCTCCAAGATTTGGTGATCTCTGGGGTAATTGTCCCAAGGTTTCAGGAGCTAAAAGCTCATGCAAAGCTCATCCAAAGCTCCTTCTGGCCTTGTTAAGACCTCCCCCCATCCAACTTCCGGGCAGCCCTCCCGGAAGTCTGATCGCTTTGGCATCCACTGGGGGGCTGTTTTCGGCGTAGCATCCTGCAAGTTCGGGCTTCACTGGTTCGAAGTTCCGTTGGCCCTACCGTAGATGGGCGAAATATTCAAACCCTTTCAACCACGAGGACCCCTTCTACCCCAAAGCTCAATGTTAGAGGTCTTGCAAGAATGTTTCGGCGAATGGACGAAACAAATCAAACCCTGGAAACACAAATTCAATCAAGTTATGTTCAACATTGACCTATGGGGGTCAGGGGTTGGCGACAGTTATTGATACATGGGTTTGAATATTTTGTCCATCTACTGTCTAAAGGTGTGACGTTTGCATATTTTTGGCTCGTAAGTATCAAGTCTAAAATCTTCATCGTAGTACTCTGTGTTTTAATCTTCTGTGCCCAACAACTCTTTCACATCGACACGTTGCGAGCGAGGACAGCAGACGTCAGGAAAGCAAGCCAGATGAAGAGCAGTTCCAGCTACTGCTCTTACTGTTGCCACGTGCCGTGTCTGTTCCCGGTGCCTTTCCAGTGCCTTTTGCAGTGCCTTTTCACGGTTTGTGTGCGCCTGCCAGTGATTTTGCCATGTGAGTCACCTTTTTGCTAAAAAGAGATAGCTTATCTTTTTGTTTCAACAACACTTACCAGAAACACATTTTTGCTGGCAGGGCCACGAGAAAGTGCAAAAGGCATTGGAAAAGGCACAGGAAAGGCACTGGAAAGGGACTGGGAACAGACACGGCGCATGGCAACAGTAAGAACAGTAGCTGGAACTGCCCGGCATCACTTGAACACAACACACGCATGTGCGTCTGTAGGTCTCCGGTCGCCCACACCCAGTACCGTAGATGGACGAAATATTCAAACCCTTTCAACCACGAGGACCCCTTCTACCCCAAAGCTCAATGTTAGAGGTCTTGCAAGAATGTTTCGGCGAATGGACGAAACAAATCAAACCCTGGAAACACAAATTCAATCAAGTTATGTTCAACATTGACCTATGGGGGTCAGGGGTTGGCGACAGTTATTGATACAAGGGTTTGAATATTTTGTCCATCTACTGTAGTGGACCATGGAGCTATGCATGGGCACCCTCTACTGTATAAGTGCATGAAGACATTGAACAAAAACAACACTGATGTCAGCATACCATGCTGTCATCCCCACTCAGCCCACCCTTTGCGCCGCAGCCCAGCCACTGCAGCTGCAAGGAGATGTGCCTTCCGGCGACTTCGTGAACCCCTGGGTGCAAGAGGGCATTTGAAAGGCCAGGGCCGGCCAGGATGTGTCCACCTGTACCAGAAACTCATAAACTCGCACAAATAAGCCGCTAAATTCCAAAGTTGTTGTCTTGGTCTCCTCAAATGTGTTCACCTTCGCATGAAAGCAGGGACTCGAGAATGACCAACAATCTTCCACTGTGCTTCGGATGCGGAGCGAAGGATGGTTGATGTGCAAACATCACAAGGGCAGCCGGACATGCAGGGGCTGCCCTAACCGTCTGCATTTCCCGTTAGGTGCGGGGCGTATAAACTGAATGGTCCCTCTGCAGAGTGGAAGGCAAAGAACAAATCTTCCTCAGAGCCTCGGAATTCCTTGCGTATGACCAGTACCTGAAGGTTAGGTTGCAGGCCAACATCTCAAACATAGCGCTAATCTTTTACGGACTGTGACTGGTAATGGGCTACGCCCATTCCGAATTCCCATGATCCCTTCGTGGGTAGATGAGAATCCATCCATGATAATGGGATGGGCATATATAATATATATATAACTATATCCCTGGTATGTATGCCCATCCCTGACCACGTTTCCACCACCCCAATGTAGGGATCATATGATGTATACCAGTCCCATGTGTCTTCGTCGTGTCTGACTATGCCCGGATTCCGGAGGCCGACGAACGTCGTGGTGGTCGTCCGTCACAGGGAGATGAACCAAATCACTCCGCCACCAAGTCGGCTTTTACGGCTTTTTACGGCCCCAGAAAGTAATAAAAAAACAAAAACACAACAACAACGACAACGACAACGACAACGACAACGACAACGACAACGACACGACAACGACAACAACAACAACAACAACAAGGTACAAACAAAAACTGCAACCCCGTTACACCACATCTTCTTTCTTTTTCTCGACAAGGGGGTAGAAACAAATTCTGCGACCCCGTCGTTGTTTTTTGACCCCCCAAAAAAACAACCAAACAACAAGCACGTTACTGCTACTACTACTAGTGGTACTAGTGCTACTACTACTAGTGGTAGACACCCCCCACCCCGGGACGTGGCGACAGTGCGCGGGGCGTGTGCGGAGGCGGAGGGGGTGGAAACCCGGTTCTCAATCTATGCACTGAAAATCAGTCTTTTCTTGGAGACTCCTGGAAGCTTTTGGATTCCAATGGAACAATATGGTCGATTTAAACGCCTTCTTAGGGTCTATGAAACTCCTCTGAGGGTCATGCTACTGGTGATGCTTATTGTAACTGGTTAAGTAAACCCTGTAAAACTTCTACTTGGAACCTCTACCACATCCTAGAAACAAAAACTGCAACCCCGTGGTTGTTTTTTGGACCCCCCCC